TTTGCTTAATATTTTTCTTTAAACCATTTCATTTTTTTACACTAAAACAAATGTACATATCACTACCATAAATGCAAATGGCCAACATAAAAATAAATATAATAAAAACAAAATAATGTGCTTAAATTCTAGTCTGATGTTCTCACCTACCAAAAACTCTGAGCCTGTGGGCTGTTTTCTTTTCATTATAAAGGGAGATTGGCAACTGTCTGTGGGCATTGCAGAGTGGGTAGCACCTAATTGAGACTTTATCCTTTATGTAATTGAAAGGATTAAAAAGAGAGGGGCTAGTCCGGTGGCATAGTGGTTAAGTATGCACACTCCGCTTCGGCAGCCCGGGGTTTGCAGGTTCAGATCCTGGGCGCAGACCTACGTGTCACTCATCAAGCCATGCTGTGGCAGGCGTCCCACACATAAAGTAGATGAAGATGGGCACGGATGTTAGCCCAGGGCCCATCTTCCTCAGCAAAAAGAGGAGGATTGGCAACAGATGTTAGCTCAGGGCTAATCTTCCCCCCCCCCAAAAAAAATTAAAATTAAAAAAAAACTTACATACATATATTCATAGCAGAATTATTCATAGACCCAAAAAGTAGAGACAACCTAAATGCCCACCAACAGATGAACAGGTAAACCAAATGTGGTATACCCATCCAGTGGAATCTTATTTGGCAATACAAAAGAATGAAGAACTAATACATCTTACAGCATAGATGAACCTTGAAAAGATTATGATGTAAAAGAAACCATACACAAAAGACTACATATTGTATGATCCAATTTATATGAAATGTCCAGAATAGGTATATCCAGAGAGACAGAAAGTAGATTAGTGGTTGCCAGTGGCTAAAAGGAAGGGGGATGGACAATGATGCTAATGGGTATGGAGTTTCCTTTTGGGGTGATGAAAATATGCAGGAATTAGATAGTGGTGATGGTTGCACAACTCTATGAATATACTAAAAACTATTGAACTGTACACTTTAAAAGTATAAATTTTATGGTATATTAATTATATCTCAATAAATTTGTCATTTACAAAAACTGAATTTAGAAAACAATTCAATTAGGAGGCAAAAGTCAAGAAAAGAGACATTTCACCAAAGAGGATGTATGGGTGACTGACAAGCATGTGAAAAGATATTTAACATCATTAGCTATTAGGGAAATGCACATTAAAATCACACTGAGATACCGGAACATACCTATTAAAATAGCTAAAATAAAAGTGAAAAAAACACTGGAGAAGATGAGAGAAATAGGATGGGAATCTAAAATGGCACAGTCACTCTGGAAAATAATTTGGCACTTTCTTTTAAAACTAAAAATGGATTTACCATACAATGCAGAAATTGCACTCTTGGGCATTTACCCCACAGAAATGAAAACTTATTTTCCTACGGAAAGTTGTACCTGAAAATTCATAGTCGTTGTCTTTGTAACGGCCAAAAACTGGAAACTGTTCGTATATTGCGCAATGGGTGACTGGTTAAACAAACTGTGGTACATTCATCCCAGGGATTATGAGCTAGCAATAAAAAGAAACAACTATTAATACACGCTATCACTTGGATGAACCTCAAGGAAATTACGCTGAGTGAAAAAAACCTCAAAAAGATACATACATACTGCATGTTTCCACTTATGTAACATTCATGAAATGAGATCATTATAGAAATGGAGAGCAGTTAGTGGTTTCCAGGGGTTAGAGATGGTGGGGAGAGGGGGAAGGTGTGGCTGTAAAGGGGTGGCACAAAGGAACCTTGTGGGGATGGTAGTTAAGTGTCTTGATGGTGGTGACAGTTACATGAAGCCACACACGTGACAAAATAGCATGCGGCTACACACACACAATGAGTACATGTATACCTGGTGAACTTTGAATAAGCCCTGTGGATTGTACCAGTGTTAATTTCCTGGTTTTGATATGGTTAGTGATGCAAGATGTTAACATTGGGGGAGTCTGGGTGAAGGGTTCATGGAACAACTCTGTGATTTTTTTTGCAACTTCCCGTGAATTTGTAATTATTTCAAAATAAAGTTTTTTCAAAACCTAAATTGATCCTGATCCAAAATTTACTCCTCTTTCTGAATTCTTTAATTTCACATCCATAGATATGAAAGCTAGACATCTAGGCATCAGCCCAGGCTCCTCCTTAGCCTTTACCTGTCAACATCAAACCATAATAATAATAATAACATTTATTGAATGCTTCTTCTCTACCAGGCACTACCCTTATGGCATTCTATGGCTGGTCTAATCTATTCCTCACATCAACTCTATTATTACTCCCATTTTAAAAGTAAGGAAACAAGATTAGAGGGGTTAACGGCTATGGCCAAGGTCATACAGCAGGTGAGGAGGGCAGGTTGCTCACCTAGGCAATCTGACTTCAGAGCCCATACACTACGAAATCACCAGATTCAAAATCCATGCACTCATTTTAGGCCAGTGCCTTAGTTCAAGACGTCAGTATTCTCTACCCGGACCAGAATTAGTACCGGAGCCTGATGACCAGTCTCCCACCCCCGACCCAAGGGGAAGGAAGCAACCACACCTACCATATGCACTTGAATGATAAACCACCCCAAACAGAAGACAGTCCCCCAGTTTCCCCGTGCAAAGATTTTTTTAAGTATTTTGGCCAACTTGAATGTATAAATGTTTAGTGCTATGGGTGAAATAACCAAGCATCTATTTACACGGATTCAATACATTTTATGTGTTTACAATGGCATATTATATGAAATCCATTAATTTGGAAACCTTGCTGCCCTCACTCTCCCGCTTTCTAAAATAATTTCATTCAAACGCTTCACACGCATCTTTAACTTCAGCGCCTTCAAAATTTTCAACTAACACAGCTTTCCAGCATATATTATCTTCATTTCTAAGTTATTTGAAAAATAGTCCTTTTGAATCTATATATAACCCTCTCCCTGAAAAGCTAAAAGGTCCATTCATATAGCATCCAGGAAATGTAGGTTTTTTAATTTGCTCTGTCGCTCAGTGGCTCCAACATTGGCTACAAATTAAAATCATACTGCATTATAAACTTCAAAGTTGCTAGGAGACTAGATCTTAATTGTTCTCAACAGAAAAGAAATGACAATTATGTGACGTGATAAAGGTGTTCGCTAACACTACTGCAGTAATCGTATCGCAGTATACAAATGTCTCAACTCAACATGTTGTACACCTCAAAAGTACACAATGCTACATGCCAATTACATCTCAATTTTTTTTTAAATGGGAAAAATCACCTGGGGAAATTTAAAAACTACCAATGCCCAGAAATAGTGATTTTACTGGTCAGGAGAGGACACTAGGTGTAGCCCTTTTTGAAGTTCCTCCCGTGAGTCTATGTAAAGCCCAAGCTGAGAACCGCTGTTCAGGTGTGTACCTAGAGAGCTCCACGTGTAATCTAGTGGTTCTCAGACTTGGTTATGTACAAGAACCTGGAAAGCTTTGTAAACATCCTGATGCCCAGGCTCTGCCCCTCCCCAAGGATTCTATTGTATCTGATCTGACCACTTAGGAGTATTGGTTGTGAGGTTTAAAAGACTGTCTTAACCACATTCAAATATTTACCATGGTTAAGTCACATCCCCCTCCCACCTCAACTCCTACCCCCCCTCCCATGACTTCCAAAACTGTGCTGAATCTTTGCTTTCTTCCATTTCTTTTGTATCAGGTGACCTCTATAAGCTTCCAAAGATAGCACTGATTGAGAACATTTTAACCTAATTTGGCTTCCCCAAATAGTACTTGGTTGTCCTAAACAAAGGAGTTGAAAGAGTGTCCCGTATGGTGAGAGATTTTGTGAGGTCTCAAATATAAAGCTTTCAGATACATTTCTGGAAGATCAATTGGGAAGAGAATGTCACTTTATTTTTGTACATATCATTAATAACCATTTCTTGAATGTTTACAACAGCAAGGCACCATGTTAAATGTTTACCTGATCTCACTGAATCCTAAAAATATATACAGGATATTTAATTATTATTATTCCCATCTTAAAGAGGAAGAAACTCAGTCACGGAGTCCATTTGCCCAAGGTTAGCACCCAGCTGGTGTACAAAGACAGAATGTGGGCCCAGGTTTTCTGCGTCCCATGCTGTACTGCCCCCTTCTGTCCCAGCAGTCCTCAAGATGCTTTCAAAAGAGGCACCAGGACTTCTGTTCCAGTGCCCCAAAGGACAGTGTAGGGGAAGAGGGAGAATCCCCCTCTGCCCTTTCCCTTAAGGTTCTTATGGCTGGCCAAATAATTAACAAGACAGGTTAGCAGGAGAAAATAATACCAAGTTTAATAACATGTATACATGGGAGAAACCAGGGACACTGCGTTTCTCAACACAATAGCAGAAATTCTCTTCTTAAATACCATGTTCAGCCAAAGACAAAGGAGGATGTTGGGGGTTGGGGGAGTCAGTTACAGGAGTTACCACTAAAGCACTGTAAACAAGAGTAAGGTTATTATGCAGATTTAAGGCTTCACCTTCCACATTGATAAGTCTCTAGAAATGAGGCCATCCCCCCTCTTCCCAATACAGAGAGGGAGATACCTTTACAAATGGAGATTTCCCTTATAAATGTAAATGTTTGTCTGGCAACTCCTCGCAGAGCCATCCAGAGAATGTGGCCAGAGAGACATAAGATGGGCTTGTTGATGCCTTTTCTATTGTAACATCTATTTTACATTATATTGCAGCCATCAGATAGAAGATCTGTTCCAGGAAGGAGTTACTATGTCAAATTCTTTAGGCAGGTAGTGGGGGAGGTCAAATGTCCGTCAGAGAAAACAATCAAGGTAAAGAGATATATTTCAGGGTGGCCAAATCTTGATCTCCCACAACAGTATGGCATCATGAACGAGGGAAGGACCACTGGAGAGAGCATCAGTGACCTCCTCCCTCCTCCCTGCCTCTGTGGTCGGGTCAAACCCCTCTGCCCCAACATTCCCTGGTTCCCGGCTCTGTGACATCACAGACAGCCTCCTCTCCACTCTGACAGCTGCAGGTGAGTGAGGCTCAAAGGTTAGACCTGAGAGCGGGAGGGGGATTTGGTCTGTGCTTAAAGGGACAATGTCTCCATCACTCCTAGACACATTTTCACTTTGCTCCAGGAAGCAGATGCCACCCCCAACTTACATTGACCCTGTTGTTTCTCTTTCTGGGCCCCAGTCTCTCCACCTATGGCTGAATGACCCCTAGTGGCTCCTCCAGCTCCAGAAGCCCTCCTGTTTGACCTCATTGATCTTTCTTGTTCTAGTTCTGGAAGTGCTGGGGGGTCACTGGAGACCTGAAGTTCACAGCTCACTGAGGATAACCCCAGGGCCCTTTTCTTTGGCTCCTGCTTCCATCTAGAGGAGGGCAGTGGTAGTGCAAGAAACCCCACACCCCACACCCCACACCCCAGCCAGCCCCAGCCAGTATCTCTCCTACTTCACCGCCATTCACGTTGTTAAGTCCTTACTGAGTGCCAGACACCATGCTAAGTACTTTCCAACATTATTTAGTCCTCGCAACCACATTCTAGGGTAGATACTATTATTATCATCCTCATTTCACAGATAGGAAAACGGAAGTTCAAGGAAGTTAAATGCCTCTAAATTTCATAACTAATAAGTAGTCGATATTTAAGAATTATACCCAACAGAATGTGCTTGTCACTGCCACACTGTTCTCCCTAATGGATGGATGCCGTGCTTTCCATTTCTGAAGAGGGTTCTAAAATTCAAAACTCTTTGCTACCAACACTCGAAGGAGAAAGTGGTTCTACTCTCCTCTTTTTCTCATGAAACTGCTGGGTGGAGTAAAGCTAGGGAAAGCATTGGCACTAGATTCAGATAAACCTACATTTAAAATCTCTGTTGCATGCTAATACGGAATAATACTCAAGGTACTTCTATATACATAAGCTGCTTTAGAGAAAGAGACCTCCATTCAACATGTGAAACAAAAACAATTTCTCATTAAACAAGAAAACTATGCTTCTGTGACAAAGTCTCTGAACAAAGCTAATAGCTGATATTTAAGGAGTTTAGGGAGGTGTTGATTTCATGGACAAGTGGTATTTCCAGGGCAGGAGTGCTTAGGAATGGAAGACCATCAGCTGTGAAAGTGTAACACTGTCACGTATCTGTTACTTTTGGAAGACTGGTCACCAAGACAAAGTTTCATTAATAGATTATATGGGTTTAAAATAGGTTCTGGTGATTACCTGTTACCATGGTTACAGAGCAATGGTCTTTATTTAGGAATGTGGGAACTTCTTTTTTATTCCCAAGGTCTCCCTTTTGGTCTTCCTTCAACCAGAGCTGCAGAAGAGACCCACAGGTATTGTCCAGATCTTTACCACTGTCATCGACTTTCCTTGAAGACACAGTTCCATTTTTCCACTTACAGAGATCTGTTTAGCCAGCCTGATGTCTTCTTGTTTTCGTCTTTGAATCATCTGTGGAACCATGTGTCGAGCCAGTGGCTGCATTAAAGTATTTAACTCTCTGGACAACGGCCACTGAATGACTAAGAGACAAATAATAATTAAAAGTATTTTAAGAAGAGTCTGGAAGGCACTCTAGAATCATGACCCATGATTTCCCAGGCGTGACCAAGAAAAGAAATTTCAAATGATTCCCTGGGTCCACTTTAGATAGCCAGGTTGCCCTTTCTTTGGGTTTAGATGTAGATTAACCTCACCTGTGGTGTTAATCCAGGTACAACATGAAGTGCTAGCAATGGTGCATACTTCCCCTGGTTAGTCAAAATAAAATCCACAGGTATTCTAATATCCATAATCACTTAAGCTAGGGATTTTCAGTCGGTTGGTTGTGCCCCAGGGCATGGGCTATATTATTTATTATGTCAGCCAAGGTGAGGGAAATGAGAAAGTTGTCCAGCTCCTATGGAGGGCTTCCTGTCCTCAGAAGTCTATTTTATCTGTGGGTATTGATAGCCCCAGGAAGAGTTTATTCCCTCCAATGCTGTGTTCCAAGAGATGTAGTCCATTCAGGGTGTTGGGGAGTCATACAATTAGAATGGTTCAAGTATTCAAAACACAGAACAATTAGTCTTAGTCCTAGTTGACATTGAAGAGTCTGATTTCCATATAATAAACAAACTATTTCAACAAGCAAACAGTATATCTGTCCACCTGTATTATCAACAATTCCCTTTGGGAATTCAGAGGAAGGACAGGAAAGTATTGAGTGCTAAGTTCTCCTCAGAGTGGCGTCACTGGGCAGATTTGGACAGCTGTCCTTCCGCCATTATGGAACATGAGTTCTTCCAATGCTCACAGCAAATCCAAGTGTCCTTATCCACAGGCTCTGGAGTCTTTAAGAACAGAGAAACTTTTAGTCTTGTTTTTATTTCAGGAGCCAATTGTTTTATCCAAGAGGCCTAAAGGTTATTTTGATTTCTAGTTAATTATTTAAGATTCTTTGAAAATGATTAGGAAATCTAAGTTGGCATTTCCCATTCCAATTTATTTTATCTAAGTCCTCTATTTCAGGTCTGAACCCATAGCAAAAAGAGAAGAAAAGGCTCCCTTTACTTAAGCTGTTGGTCTGCCCTAGAATGTTCCTCGAAAGCGCCCTGAAGTCTATTAAATCTCCTATTGATTCATCTTGTTTTTGTTTGCAATTTTGAATCTTTGCCCAATCTACTCTTTTTTTTGTGTGTGTGTGTGTGTGTGTGTGTGTGTGTGTGTGTGTGTAAGGAAGATCAGCCCTGAGCTAACATCCGTGCTAATCCTCCTCTCTTTTTGCTGAGGAAGACCGGCTCTGAGCTAACATCTATTGCCAATCCTCCTCCTTCCCCCCACCCCCAAAGCCCCAGAAGATAGTTGTATGTCATAGTTGCACATCCTTCTAGTTGCTGTATGTGGGACGCGGCCTCAGCATGGCCGGACAAGCGGTGCGTCGGTGCGCGCCCGGGATCCGAACCTGGGCCGCCAGCAGCGGAGCGCGCGCACTTAACCACTAAGCCACGGGGCCGGCCCCCCAATCTACTCTTAAGAGAAAGTTTTTATGAAATAGTTTTACGTGATGTGTTTTCTATTTTTCTTACCTTCTCAAGCCCACTTTTTTGAATTATGCATAGGTGGGTTATTTAAATCTTCTGGTCTTTTCCATCTTGCTGCTTTTAAACATTTTGCCCCATTGTTGAAGGTCAATAATTAAGTAAACTAACTGGTACAAATATGATAATTCAGGGCAATAAATAACAGAATAACGAACAGAATCCTGAATTATGCAGAAACTTTCTGTCCTTCTGAAATTTGGGATGATTCTAAACACGTGCCTTCCACTCAACTCTCACCCAGAATTTAAACTCAACCTCTCTGGATCCACCTTCTGGTATAGGAGTTTTAGGGGGATATTATGCAATGTTGATTATTCTTTTCTAAAAAAGTGCCCCCTGAAGAAAGCTTACTTAGGCAGATAGGGAAAGGAACAAGAGGAGAGTCAGTGGGTGGTTAAGAAAAAGCTAGGTGGAGAGAGAAAGAGAGATGCAAAGAAAGGAGGTTTCAGAAGGTTTGCGTAGGAGTGAGATCTTTTTTTTTTTCTAACTTTCTTTTTGAGGCCGGAGCATACCAATCAAAGAAGCCCTCTATTGAACGTTTGGTGTTTTTGTCTTCTCTCTTTTCTAGGGCTCCTCTTAAATCTCTTATTTTGACATGGGAAGTTTGCCATAACGGCCATTGTAATTCTAAGTCACCTAGTGCAATTTTGCCATTTATTAAAATTAAGCACGAGACAGGGCATAGAGCGAGAGCGTATATAGGAAGCAGTTTTTCCAGGAAGAGGCAGCAACTTGAATGTAGATGAGAGTATGACAAACAGGAAAGAACACACTACAGTTTGTACTTATGATGTCTCGAATTCCTTGGCCAAGGAGAACCTAAAAGTGTCCATAGGATCAATGACCTGGAAATCACTGACTCCAGAATATAGGCTGAGTAAAGTGACCTTCTTTCTTTGATATAACAAGACAGAACAAGTGCTCATGAAGGTTTGGAGGGACGCAAGGCAAATCTTTAGCAATTACCTTTATACCAATTGATCACCAGCCCAACAGACTTCCAACCAGTGGTTCTCAGGGCTGACTTGTGGTGAGGGCTTGTCAAACCTATGCTTCCATTGCTTCCTTAGGAAACACTTCTTTCTACATTCAACATACGTGAGGCAATCTAAAACAAAGCAAAACTCCGTGAGGCACGAGTTTGTATAAGTAGATGAAGAAAATTGAAACTGAAGCAAACAGCAGCAGCAGCATAAGCATCTCAATGGCAAGCGTATTTGCTAAATGGTGCATCCTGAAACAAAAGATCTAATTGCCTTCTATAAATTTCTATTTGTTTATAAATCCTAAGAAAATAAATTCATTACGGAGAGCTCAGTGAAATACGTCAGAATGCAAATCACATTGAAAACTCACTTGGCAGCAGATCCATAAGACAATTGGAGACTGTGGCTAAACGGACCCAGTGTGTACTCCTCTTGGTCCAAGGATCCCACACAATGGGGACGTCTGTCTTTGTCTAGTCTGCTGGATGTATTTAGCCGCAGTATATACATTGTGCTATATTGAATAGCTTATGTATAGGAAGTTAAAGATTGTGTATTAATTATTAAGAAGTCAAAGGTAAAAGAAACAGGGAGATCAATTAGGAGGCTGTTGCCATAATTCAGGCAAGAGATGATGGTGGCTTGGACCAGGTATAACAGCAGAGAAACTGAGACGCAAGTGCCCATGAATGAGATGATTCACAGAGTGAACTGGGTATTGTGAGCGACATTAGCCCCTACCATGACAAGAATTTCCTAAAAGGGGGTTTTGCCACAGAAAAGGGAGTGAGAACAGGAAGCATTCAGAAACAAAGAAGGGAGTTTGGGATTAAAACGAGGCTTTATAATTCTGGACCAGATCTGGATCCGAACTAGAAAGATCTTTGAAGAGATCATCTACCTTCATCTTATTACTGATCAGAAGCCTGAGACCCAGAGATGAGCATGGACTTCCCTAAAGCCATACAGCAAGGTAGTGGCAGAACCAGGACCTAAACCTACTAGACTGTGCTACATTACCGTGTTCTCCATGTTCTCATGGTACCTGGACCAGCTGGAATAATTTGGAGCCAACGAACCACGCGAAGGGGACGGGAAGGGAAATGGAATGACCATTGACGGGGCACTTAGTGTGTACCTAGCACCACAGGGGTCACTGTTCATATATTTAACCCTTTACTTCTGCAAAGTAGGCACTGTGATTCTCATTTTCCCCATGATAAAAGTGAGGCTCAAGAAGGTCAAGGGGACCGGCCCCGTGGCTTAGCGGTTAAGTGCACGCGCTCCGCTACTGGCGGCCCGGGTTCGGATCCCAGGTGCATACGGACGCACCGCTTGTCCAGCCATGCTGAGGCCGAGTCCCACATACAGCAACTAGAAGGATGTGCAGCTATGACATACAACTATCTACTGAGGCTTTGGGGAAAAGAAAAAGGAGGAGGATTGGCAATAGATGTTAGCTCAGAGCCGGTCTACCTCAGCAAAAAGAGGAGGAGTAGCATGGATGTTAGCTCAGGGCTGATCTTCCTCACCAAAAAAAAAAAAAGAAGGTTAAGGAATTTGCCCAAGAACATGCGCCTGGGAATAGGGGAAAACACAGATCTATCTAAAAGCTGAGCATGTTCATGTTCGTTTCTGCAAGAGCTGGGATTTCGCTGCGGTGGGATCCTATCTGGAGTGTGAACACAGGTCAAGAGGTGACATTTTTCAGCCACAGTCTTATGTTTATTTAGGAAACAGCCCTGCCCTGGGAACTGGCTTCAAATTCAAGATCAGCTGACTCAACAAGGCACCCCTGCAGGCAAAGCTGGCAGAGTAGAGGCTTCAACTCCTTTCCATGGGTAAGAAAATTTTGTATAGAATAGGGAAATGGCCAAAAGAGACAGTGACCTAGGCAGAAGGGCCTGGATCTGCTGGCCACAGGAGCTACAGAAGATTTAGGAGAGGAGAGGGCTATTAGACCTTGGGAGACACTGACCCCAAATGACCCCCATCACAGTAAATTTCCAATGGGTGTCTGGAATTCAGTCCCCAGAACCCATGGCCCTCATTCTTTTTCCTCCTATAGCTGCCCACCAAAACCTGGCCTCGAAGATCTTCTGTTTATGCTGCAGAGACTGTGAGGAGCCCCACGCCGTAGATGACTCCAAGGTCCCCAGTCAAACCCAAGAGCAACAGCCATCGACCCGCAGTAGGTACCAGACAAGGACACCCTGCCTGGCTTCTCTAGACCTCATTTGCTCATCCCCCTCCTGCTGGAATACCCTCAGATTTCCTTCAGCTTTCAAGTGGTAATTCCAACCTATAATGAGGTGGGGATTGGGTGGCTAAGGACCCAAACCAATAAACAATAGAGCTTAAAATCTTGATACTTAAAGTGTGATCCAGGGACCAGCAATTTCGGCATCACCTGGGAGCTTGTTAGAACTGCACTTTCAGACCTCACTCCAGACCTACTGAGGCAGAACCTGCATTTTAACACAACCCCCAGGGGAATCTGAATGTACATCAGAGTTTGAGAAGCCCTTGCCTAAAGACTACAAAGACAGTGGTGAAGATCCCTGCCTTTGGGGCCAGGGTTGGTTCCAATCTGTTCTGCCACAGAATTGGGCAAGTCACTTAATCTCTCCTTCCGAGCTTCAATGTCCTTACCTGTAAAATGGGGATATTCATAATATATCATTTCTTTCTAGGGTCATTGGGAGCATTAAATGAGATAATATATTTAAGCACTGAGCACAGGGCCTGAACAAAGTAGAGATTCAACAGATGCCAACAAATGGAATCAATTTATGGGTATTGGTCAGGATAGGATAGGTTCTGCTGTTAAAACAAATAAGTCTTGAAATCTCAATGGTTTACAAAATGAATGTGTATTTCTTGTTTATGCAAAGTCTAGTACACATCAGCCATCCCTTTTCATCCTTAGCCAGGGCATCTGGGACACACAGCTTTCAAGACAGCCAGGTCAAAGTCAGAGATAGAGAAAGAGAGAGAGAGAGAGGCATCCTGGCCTTCAGTCTATAATTATATCCTTCCTGATGATCCAGGACAAAAGGTCATAGTGGAGAAGACTTGGGGGGACAAAAATCAGCAATTTCAGACAGGAAAGCAAAAAAGCAGCATTATTGTCAGAATCAGGCAAAGCCAGGACTGACAGGCACACGGTGGGGTGGTGACTGGTGGGGGCAGGGGGGTGGGTCAGGTACCTGGCACAGTCCCACTCAGAGATGGGACAGTACAATGTCAGGAAAAAAATTCTCATGGCATATTTTGCCAGAAATCCATAGTGAGGGTCTTTAAAATACTTCCCCTGCAAGTAGTTTCACAATAAAAACCAAGAAGCTTAAAAATGGCAATCCCTTTTCCCAAGATAATAATAATTATTATGGAGCCCCTATTACATGCAAGGCACTGTCTGGGCTCTTGGGGCCCAGCTGTGATCAGATAAATCCCCTACTGTTTCAGAGCTTACACACTAGAGAAATGTTATGATTTAATCCTTATAATCAAGGATTTAAGAAGTGGACGTGGTTATCCAAAATGGATGTATTACTTTGTAGGTCTGAAAACAGAGAGAGGTGAAGCAATGAACTCAAGGGATGCAGCTGGTCAAAGCCAGAGCTGTTTCCTGTATCACAGAACACAGCTCAGCCTGTTGACAAAATCTTACACTTCTAGGAATCTACAAGTGTATAAAAACAGCCTTAAATACGACAACGTTCATCACAACCGTATTTATAGTAGTGAAATTTGAAAACAGTTTAAATTTGAAAACATTGAAAGATAGAACGTTGGTTATATAAATCTTGAATTATTAATAAAATAGAATATTATACAACCATTATTTCTTAAAATTTAGTGACATGAGAAAAATGTTTATAATATAACGTACAAAGTAAAATGCATACGTAACATCTAGGATGTGATGGACTCTGTAAAAATGTGCATAGGAAAAGACTAGAACTGTGATAATATCTGAGGGGAGGGGTCTTTGGGGCATTTTTTCTACTTCATATTCTTTAATATTTCCTAGCTTTTCTATAATGGTTATGTATTATATTTATAAACAAGGAAAAAGTAAACTTTGTATTTTAAAAAGAATACATATTTTGAATCCAGTACCTGCCTATGAGTGGGAGAACTCAGAAGTCTAGAGGAGGGAGATTCAGGGACTCCCCACCCCTTAATAACCACCACCGGCCCGTGTGCACGCCTTTGGAGTGGGTAAAACGCCTTGGCTGCCGTCATCTCCTCTGAGCCTCCCCACGTGATCTTGTGGAATTATCATTGCCAGGTCTGCAGAAGGATGAACTTGACAGACAAAATACCAAGCGTGCTAATGCAGCCTCCTGCTTGCCTCTGGGACAACCCCTGATTCATCCAGAAAAGAGAGCCTCCTCTACCAGCAGCAGTGAGTTTGAGGGTGAGTCCCAAACTGAGGTCCTAACCCTAAGCAGGAACACCCAGGGCAGGGGGCCTTGTGCTGATGACCAAACCCCATTGATATTTGAGCTAAGCTGGGGGAGGTGACAGGAGAGATGGATGGGACCACTCCCATCAGGAAGCTGCAGTCATATTCTAGAACACATTGGAGAAAGTCCGGGGGCCTAAGACCTACCTGTGTGATCCTCCAAGCTGGGAATTACATGAGGGGGTCTGGGAGGAAAAAACACACATCCATACTCTCCTTCTAAGCTCTTGGGGCATTGTCCTATATGTGTATTTTGTCCAACTGTTTGCTTAAGGTCTGCTTTGGCCACTAGTCAGTAAGTCCCGGGAGGGTAGGGGCCATATCAGTTTTGTTCCCCGAAACCCAGCCAGAAAATGCTCGTGGATAGAGCGTGGTCCAGTGGAGGAGAAATGCCTCTGGGTCATGGAAGGACAGAAGCCCAGTGCTGGACAGTGGGCACTTCCAGGAAAAAGGAATGCACCCACATTGCTGGACACCAGGTACCCCAGTGACCTCACAACACTGTGCCCAGGTGACCTCACATAACCCACAATCACCCCATGAGGCCAGCTGTTGAGAGCTAAGGATCACCCAGCCCAGCCATTTCAGAATTCCCGTAACAGCTAAACCCTCCTTGCAACCAAAATCTCACACATTGTCCAAGTTCTGTAAAAGATCAAAAGGATCCTGCTGTAACTGAATTGAGAGTGGGGGGCCAAGACCCCCACTAGGTCGCCCTCCCACTATCTTTCCCCACCCTACCCCCCAAAGGACTCCATGGATCCTAGTTTTAAAACCCGCCTCTCATTGTGTAGAGAAGGCTGAGGCCCACAGCGGGAAGCACTTTCCAAAACCACGGACTGGTATTAGTGTCAGAACCAGGATGGACCCAATTCTTTTACTTTCCAAGCCACTGCACTTTGCACAACAACCTACCATCACTGAATGCACCAGTGGAATACAACGCAGAACCTACTGCAGAAACTTGTTCCTCTTACAAAGGACTTCCACCTCCCAGGCTGGGGTCCACGTAGCTCACGCAGTAATCGACAATCTGACAGTGACCAGGGATGGAGGCGACCAGGACAATCCAGCCAGGCCCAAGGCAAGGGTTTCACTCAGCATAATTTTTTCCTTTCTTCTTTCAGATCTGAATACATATGTTTCCCAAAGAGGTTTTTACAAGAGGAACCTAAACCGCTACTCCCAGGATCACTGGCCATTCCAGCCATGCCTCATTGGGAGACCCTGAGCATTCTAGTCGGCAGCCCCCACGAGGGTCTCCGAGGGTGCACGGTGGCTGGAGTGTCTCCAGGAGGAAGAGGGCGGTGAACGGGGGCCATGAAGACTGATTCGGAAACTCCCCAGGAGGAGGAGAAGACGTCTGAGCCAACCCTGTGCCACGAGCAAGAGTCACTTCAGTTCCTGAAAAAGCCACTGTGGGAGGAGCTGCCTCCAATTAAAGTCCTTGATCATGTCACAATCTTTGATCGCCTTCCTCTTTTCCCCTCCCCCTTATTAAGGAATATCTCTTCCAAATAATATCTTATTTTTAAAAATACTGTCACATCTAATTAACGTAAAACAAATTTTTTAACTTTTGGGATAGCTTTCTGTTAATTTTGAAATAATTTCAAACTTACAGAAAAGTTGCGAGAATAGTACAAAGAACTCCTATATACCCTTTATGCAGATTCACCAATTATTTACATTTCCTCCATTTGCTTCATCGTTTCTTTTGTCTCTATCCCTATAACATTTTTCTGAACTATTTGAGAGTGAATTGTGCATGTCATGTCCCTTTACTGCTAAATACTTCAGCGTGTATTTCTTAAGAACAAGGATATTCTCATACGTAACTACAGCACTGTTATCAAAAGCAAGAAATTCAACGTTGATACAATACTATACAAATTTCATCAATTGTCCCAAAAATGTCTTAAAGCTACTTTTTTGCCTAGTCCAGGTTTTAATCCAAGATTGGGAATCACATATAGTTGTCATGTCTCTTTAGTCTCCTTTAATCTGGAACAGGTCGTCTTTATTTTCATGAGCTACACATTTCTGGAGAGTACAGGCACAACTGTCTTATAGAATGTCCCTCAATTTGTGTTTATCTTTTGATTAGATTCTATTTTTGCATTTTTGGCAGGAAGACCACAACCACAATATTGCATCCTCCTCAGTGCATCGTAACAGGAGGCACATGATGGACACAGGTCCGATTATTGGTGATGTTAACTTAGACCACTTGGTTAAAGTGCTGTTTGCTGCCAGGTTTCTCCACTGCAAATTACTATTTTTCCCTTTGGAATTAATAGGTAATTTGGGAGAGGCTGATACCTTGAGACTCTGTGAATATCCTATTTCTCAACAAACTTTCACTCACAAGTTTAAGCATCAATAAATGATTCTTGCCAGAATCAATTGTTACTATGATATTTGCCAAATAGTGAATTTCCCAATTTCATCACTCCTACATCCATTAGTTAATCATCCACTATAAAGAAAAGCTTTCCTTGTTCCCCTTTATAAATTTATTTGTATATTTGTTTATATAATTTAGATTCATGAAATCCTTATTTTATTAAAGTGGCCATAATCTATTACTATCATTATTTATTTTGATGCTCAAATTGTCCCAAATTTGACCAATGGGAGCCCACCTGAAGCTGGCTCCTGTCTCTTTTGACATGTCTCCATCATTCTTTTAACACTCATTTTTTGGCACACAAGGTATTTAGACTCATATTTTCCCTATCTCAGCCCTAGAGTTAGCCACTTCTTCAAGGAGTCTCAGTCCCTCTTGGTAAAGAAGTGTATTTAGAAACCAAGATCTCATCCCTAGGTGTGCTCACTGCTACTGGGGTGTCATTGGTTTTAGGCCTTTTCAGTGGACAGAGCTAGGAAATACACAAATACTCACACGCACATACACATACACATATGCATATATAAATTCACAAAACATACACACACACAGAAAACAAGGGAGAGAGATAATAAAAACCGGTAGTTCACACTGATATCTCCAATTCAATCCAACACCATAGGATTTATGCTGGTTTTTCCCCTTTTCATATTTGTAATTTCTTTCACCGTGAAAGATCTGGATCCCATTATCCTCTATATATTTAATCATTTGCCCAATCCTTAAGTTAGTTTCAGAACAGTTGCAGCTCTTTTCATCTTTTGACTAAAGATTTATTTCCAAATACTGCCTGCAAAAATTAAGTTACTTCTTTCTTTTTCCCCTCTCATCATGGTTATATTATTCCTTTGAAATACAGTTGGTTTCATGTGCTTCTGTTTGCCTTTAATTTTAGGATTTCTTCTCCCATCCTTGTTTATTAATTTTTTGAGTATACAAAACATGAACCTTGTTCCAAAGTCAAAACAATACAAAAAGGTACACAGAAGTGTCACCCCTCCACCAAACCCTTCCTCTCTGTTCTCACTCACACGGGCTTCTGGTTTATTCTCCCTATGTTTCTTCTTGAGAAAATAAGCAAATGCATAAATATTTCCTTTTTTCTCCTTCTTTCTCACACAAAATGTAACATACTACAGAAACTCTTTTCTACTTTGCTGTTTTTAACTTAACAATATATTCTGGAAATCACTTCATATGAATTCATGGAGATCTTCATTCTTTATCTGTTGCGTAGTTCTGCATCATGTGAATGTACCGTAGTTTATTTAACTACCCTCCTATATATGAGCACTTAGAATGTTTTCAATATTTTGCAATTACAAACGATACTGCAAAGAATAACCTTGTCCACAAATATTTTTGTATTGGATGGTATACTTTTAGGGTTAATTCCTAAGTGTGGACTTTTGAGCCAAATAGTCCACACATATATATTTTTGTTAGATGTTGTCAAATTCCCCTCTATAAGAATATATGATATATGAGAGTGCCTGTTTCTCCATAGCCTCACCAACTTTTTAATTTCTGACAACCTGATAGGTAAGAAATGGTATCTCATTTTGGTTTTAATTTGCATTTTTCTTACCATGAGTGAATATCAACATCTTTTCATACGTTTAAGGGCCATTTTTATATGTTTTGTGAATTATCTGTTTATTTCTTCTGCTCATTTTTTTCTTGTCTTTTTTGCTTAATTTTTAAGTATTTTTTATATACTAGGAATATTAGTTCTTCATATAGATTACAATCTATATGAATTACATATAGATTACAAAGATAAAGAAAAAGATAAAGATTACAAATAATTTCTCCAATTTTCCATTTGTCTTTTGATTTTGCTTATGATAATTTTGGCCTTGAAGTTAAATTTATCAATACTTTATTGCATCTGGACTTTGGGTCATGGTTAAATAGCCTTTCCCTACATTCAGTTTATAGAGGAATTCACCCACGTTTCCTTATATGCTGGTATGGTTTTACTTTTTACATTTAAATCTCGGTTCCATTTGGCATTTATTATTATGCATATACGAGGTATGGATCTAATGTTATCTTTTTTCCAAATGGTTATGTAGTCATTCCAAAACATTTATTTAAAGGACCATCTTTGGCCCAGTCATTTGAGTTGACACCTTTACAATTATATACTAAATTTTCATACTTATTTTTATCTCTTTCTGAATTTTCTATTTTATTGCACTGGTGAGTCTGTCTGTGCATCTGCTGGTACCATCTTATTTTATTCTTGATTTTTTTTTAATATAAATGTTAGTATCAATTTGTCTAGCTCCAGAAAGAATACCGATGGTATTTTCATTGTGATTGTGCGAAATTTAAAAATTAACTTAGGAAAAATTATAAATTAACTTAGGAAGAACTGACACATCTATGAGGCTGATTCCTTATCCACAAACGGCTTTTCATTTGTTCAAACCTACTTCTTTGTCTTTCAGGGCTATTTTTAAATGTTCTTTATGCGAATTTTGCAAATATCATATTGAATTTACTCCTAAGTATTTTATCTTTTTGTTGCCATTGTAAATGGAGTTTTCCTGTATCATGTCTGCTGTAACTAGTTATTGCTTGTGCATATTAACACTACTGAGTTCACTATGTTAATTTCATGTTAGTTTCCCTTCTGAATTATGTTACTGTTTGAGCTGGTTTTGTTACTGATTCTCTATGGCTTACCAGGAATACTATTAGACCATATGCAAGCAGAGATACTCCAGCTTCTTCCTTTTCTAATTCTTATGTCTCTAACTGATTTCTTTCATCTAATGCCATAGTTAATACCACCAGCACAATGTTAAATAGTGGATATAGAGAATATTTGTATTTTGTCCCTGATTTTAAAGGAAATACATATAGTGTTTGCCCATTAAGTAAGAAGTTCATTTTAGGACAAAGATAGAAAGGTAAAGATAGAGATATCATGTTAAGAAAATATCCATCAATTTTATTTTCTTTCTTCTTTTTCCTAACATCTATGGAAAAAAAAATCATGCAATCTCTCTCCTGATATTGGACCAAATTTCCACTTCACAAATAAATTCCACCTTATCATGATGTATTATTTTCATAATATGGAGTTGAATTCTGTTCACTAATATTTTATTTAGTATTTTGTATCAATATTGATAGGTGATATTGCTCTGTAATTGTCTTTTGTGTATTATCTTTACCAGACTTAGTTATAAATATTATATACTTGCTTCATAAAAAGAATTTGAAAGATTTCCTCATTACACGTGCTCTAGAATGATTTATGTCTATAAATCTGGTCTTTGAAAGATTATTAGGGGCCTGGCCACATGGCTCAAGCGGTTAAGCGCGCGTGCTCCGCTGTGGCGGCCCAGGGTTCGCCGGTTCAGATACCGGGTGTGCTCCAACGTACTTGGCAAGCCATGCTGTGGCGGGGTCCCATATAAAGTAGAGGAAGATGGGTATGGATGTTAGCCCGGGGCCAGTCTTCCTCAGAAAAAAAAAAAAAAAGATTGTTAGAATTTCCCTATGAAACCATCTAAGCCTGTTACCTTTTGGGTGGGAGGGTAGTCCCTTGATAAATTTCTCTATTTCTTCTATAGAAATTGATAGTGTTTTCTATCTCTAATGCAGTCATTTTGATAAACTGTGTTTTCCTAGGAAAGTATCCACTTCATCTAGTTTTTCAAATGTATTTGCATAAAAGTATATAAAGTACTCTCAAGATTTTTAAAATTTGTTTCAATGGTTATTTTCCTCTTATCCTTTCTAATTTTATATATTTGTGCTTTCTCCCTTTTTCCTGATTAAGTAACATACTATTTTTATTTTGTTAATTTTTTCAAAAAAAGATTTTTATTTATCAATTAGATCTACTGTTTTTCTATACTTCAGTAATTTCTGTTTTTAATCCTTAGTACTTCCTTTTCTCCTACATTGTTTTGATTACTTTGTCGTTTTCTTCCAGCATTTTGAATTGGATATTT